AGTAACAAATCTATTTTTCTACTTCTCTCCTGTTCGAGGCCTCGTGTCTTCAGGCTCCGGTCGGAAGAGGGCCCCTCGGCCAACCGATTTTCTGTAGCGGTTTCGAAGCTTGGTGCTTTGTCAGTTCCGACAAAAAAGTATGCTTTAGAGTGATTTTCCCTACATCACGGTGTACTACTGCCACTACTACTTTTACAAACAATACCAAAATTGATATTACTGCTGTTGCTAGCACTTGCATCTGTCTACTGTAACACTCATCGGGGCTTTAAGTGTGCTCATTTATTTTTGTCAATCGACCGTCATCATCATGTTGCCAGCCCGGTTGGTTAGGGAATAGAAAGGACACTCATGAACGGTTCAGAGTATTAATCATGACATTCGTCTTTCATCACTTGTCCTAATCGCCTCCAGATTTCAGAGTGTTAAACTCAAATACATCATCGTACTCGCGGTGTTCAAGTCAGCCACAACTCGTCCAAAGTGTTGTTGTGGCGAGACATATCACCTCGGAAATTCGTGTTCCCGCAGAGCCGCTGTGATAGCTTGCACATATTCCAGTTGACTAGTTTCGTGGAAAAATGCCCGCCCAACGACGGTTCATTCCCACTCACCCACTCACCCCTCCTTTACTTCATCCCCACCCCGACCATCTCCTTTTAACCGTTGTGACCCGTCCATGTCGGATCGGATCATTCTGCAGCTCGGAGTGTGAGACCTGGTCGCGTCTCGGACGCGGCGAAAGTGAGGCCCGTCGATTGGTGGGGACCTCACGGCGATCGCTCATTGGCCGAGCCTTGGATGCCCGACAGGACGCAAGACCGCATTGACGGCGTCGCCGAGGCCTCCTTCTTCCATCCGTCCGTCCCTCCGTTCGTTCGTTCGAGACCCTATTTTCTGGTCAGCGTATACCTTCGTCTACATCCACTCGTAATTTTGCATATAAACAGCGCAAAACTCACTTGGCACACTTTGCATTGCATAGCGCTCATCATCATATAATCACATTTGGAAAAATGTGTTGGCTTTTGTGAGTCAAGCATTCGTCTTTGTCTTTATATATATATATCTCTCTCTCTTTGTGCTCTCGTCCGTCATATCCACTCGTGTTGCATTCGTATCAATCACAGTCAAGCAAATCCATCTTCTCGTCCCACAGTCGGCCGGCCTGATCAGGACGGCTTTTGTGGCGGTTTCACTCAATTTGTTTGTGGTCATTATTTTGGGGATCGTTGATATATTTAATACATAATTGTGTTTTTCTTAGTTATAATGTGTTTGTTGGTAAATCGGAGTATGTTTTTTTTTCTCTTTTCATGCTGGAGTGCTTAAGGCATATCAAAACAATTATTAGCAGTTAATGGAGAAAAATTGGGCTCCGAAGATTCCATTAATATATTCATGTTAGTGTACCTTTCAGTTTGTCTGAAGAAGCGAGTGGATGCGATTCGTAAGTTGATTCCATCGCAGACTGGGGGGGGTCGCCTTGGAGCTGTGGTTGTAGACACACCGCCCTGCGACCCCGATGAATCCTTGCTGACCTTTCGTCCAAGCAGGATACCATGTTTTATGATAATTCACCAAAAAAGACGAGGGCAAGAAAGGTGGTCGACTTCAAACTGACTTGCTTATTTTATTCCAATTTGGTCCATTTTGGCATCTCATGCGTCTTGCCTAAACGCTTACTCAAAAGTTGAGTTAAGTAGCTGTAGATGACATGTGAAGTGGCTACAGATGAAGTGTGAAATGGGTACAATTGTAGCCGTAAAACACGTATGCATTTGATCCTGCAGTGTTACTGCATGTAATTGCGTCCCATTGCATGTGTTTTGTGTGTCTGCATTGGTCTTGAAATGAGTGATGTGACGGTCAAAACCAGATTCGAGCCTCCACCTTTTGCTCAGTGGTACTTCTCTCTCTCTCTCTCTCTCTCTCTAAGCCTATCCAACAGCA